GCTGGCAAGACAGTAAAAGGTGGGTGGAGAGAGCCAAAGCCAGAGGGACCAGAGCGCTACTGGCGGGACAAGGACGCATGGGACAGTTGTAGAAAACATTCCACATTAGGAAGGACAACAAGCTACTGCTGAGACCTTGGATCAGGCAAACTCACTGATGAGCACAAGAGCTGGTGGCAGAATTATCTGCAGAGGCAAAACCTGCCTTCTGACTTGGGAGAATGGCAGACCACATTTGGACATGCAAACACCAAATATGATGAAGTCAGACAAATGCAAAAGGACCGGCAGAAACAACAGAGAAAGGTGGGCTTAGGTGACTGTGCCAGGAAGGAGACCAACACCTCAGGGGAAAGGAAACCCTGAAAAATGAATGTCCGTCCATCCCTCCGTCTGTCTGTCACAATTCCTCCAGCAGAGAATGCTGCTTCTTGGGTTTCCTGAAATGAAAATAGGGTTCTCTGGGAGGAGACTGTTGACTGGACTTCAAAACAAAATGTCAACCAAAAATATGTAAAGAAATTCTTTCGGAAACACCTTTTCTTGGGGTTTTTAAGAGTTTTTTAAAAAGAAAAAGGTAACTCCCATAATTCTAAGAAAACACACAGAGAAGAGAGATAAAGAAGAGAGGTAGGCTGAGGATGTGCTATCACAGAAAGGAGGGACAGAAATATGATTCTGAGCAAGAAGCATGGGGTCTGGGGTCAACAGCCTCGCCCGAGGGTTAAATGCGGACTTTGCCTCTTGCTGCCTGGGTGACCTTGGCCAAGTCACCACACTCTGTGTCAGGGCCCTGCCAGCTCTCCACCAAGGGTCTTAAGAACCACACTGACTTCTGAATGGGCCTCCATTCAGACAACCTGGGCTTTTTCCCACAGGTGTGGGTCGCATGACTGACTGGCACAGACACAAGGACTCCCCTGCCTGGGGGTCAGTCACTCACTCACCTGGACAGCTGCGTGCTGGGACTCTCCCCTCTGGCCTCCAAGGTGCCTCCCCGCGCTCCAGCTCTCAGATCACCTCCGGCTTGGACACGGCCAGTCCTATTCAAAGGGAATGGAAATCTTAGGATAAAGAGGGAGACGTGGAAGGTTCCAACCAGGCTCAGGTCCCCGAGAATCACCCCAGAAAGGATAAAAAAGAGCCAAGGACAAAACAGATTCAAGGAGCACCAAGAGAAAGCCCAGAAGTCCCTGCACTTGGCCCAGGACTGCACAAACAGATGGCTCCAAGACTCAGGTAGGAGTTCGAGGGCCAGGACCTCAAGTCTCGTCCCTTCCAGACCTTCTCCTCCTCTGAGGTACGGGCTGCCCAAATCCATCTCCCAATCTGAACCCCCGTGGTCCTCTTCTCCTGAGCCCCAAGTCTGAGCTCCACCTCCACATCTGCCTTCCCACTTCATTTGGAGGTTCCCTCCAGGGTCCAAACTTGGCAGCTCCATGCCCTTGACGTTATTCTCCCTCATAAATGCTCCCCTCCATGGCCATGAACTCTGAAATTCCCCTTTTAGCATCCCATCTCTCCCTTTCCCTTCTGCCCCTTATCCCCCATTCACTCCACCCCTCAGCTCTTTCCCAGGCCATTCCTTCGGTCCCTTGGTCCCTGATCTGGGAAACTCTCACCCCCTTATCTTATCATCCATCACACCTTGCCAGACCCCAGCCTTGGAGTGGGTGGACAGTATGACTGTTCTGACCAACTGACCATCTGCCTCCTATTCTTGGGCTGGGGAACAAAGCTGAAGAAAGTCACCCAGCTTGGCTTCTGTCTAGTACAAATTCATGTTAAGTAATCTCACCTGGGTCCCCCCAGCACACTCCCATAATGGCTGCCCCCCTTCTCTCCTCAAGCCTCTCACAACGCTCCCTTCCCCCACCCCATCACCTCGATAGCCTCCTGGCCAATCCATCCTCCACCAAGCCATTTCCCTAAGGCCCAGGTCTGAGCACATACCCTCCTTTGGCAGTGGCAGCTCTTCTTGGCCTGGCCTCTCGCTTCTGCCCTCCTTCCTCTTCCTGCACCATGCTCCTGTCTACATCCTCCATGGCCTCATCAGCCTGGCTTCCTTGCCTTAACTCTCTCACTAAGCACAATTCAGACTTTCTGCCTACTCTGCACGGACCCTTCATCTTGCACACTTCTACTGATTTACAAGTTGTCTGACCCACTGTCAGGGGCTCTCTTTCTCCCATGCACACAGTAGGACTTTCATCAAGACTTGCTGAATCGTTCCCTGGGAAGAGGAAGCCCAAGTGTACCCCATTCATGCCCAGGTGTCCCTCCAATTGACCCCCTACCACCTCCAAGTATCATCTGCTATCGACACGTGCTCCTTTTCAGTCAGCCCTTTGCAACTTGACCTGAGACTGAAGCCACTCTCTCCTGAACATGCTCAGATGGCCTTTCTCTGCCCTCATCCAACATGGACCCTAATTCCCCCTGAATCCCCTCTCTTTCTGGGCGTGTCCATGACCCTGCTCCTTCCATGACAGACGCTTTTCCTCTTGACTGATCTCTTCCCCTATACCACCACGCTACGCCTACCTATTCCCCGGCGGATGTCCTGTTGGCCTGAATGGAACACACTATCTTTCCCCCGAAACCCTCCCCTCTCCTCAGACTCTCCTCCTCACAGGTGTCCTTCCCTCTCCTTCTCCGGCTGATTCTTGCCAAGCCTTTCTGATTCTACCTCATCTCCACTTGCCCTGTGGCTGCCACAGCTTCAGGCTGATCTCTCTCCCTCCACACAGCTCTCCAAGTGACATTCCTACTGCACTGCTCTGACCACTGCACTTCCCTGCTCAAGGAGATCTGGCAAGAAATACAAACCCCCTTCCTGGTCTGGCGCCAAGTGTCCCAAGTGGCAGGATCCTCAGCTCAATCCTCATCCTACGCAAGGGCCAACACGATCCCCTCAAAGGTGCTGGTGCCCTTACCCAGCCCCCCAGAAACTACTGGTGTTGACTTAACTGTGTTCATGTGTTTCCCTCCATCTTCCAACCCCAATAGGATATAAGCTCCCGTGGGGGGCAGGGCAGGGACTGTTGCTTTTGTCTCTGTGCCCAGCACAGGGCCTGGCACACATCCAAGAGGATGAGGACTCCCTGGTCTCTGAAGGCCAAACAGTCTCCTCTAAGCCTTTTCCCGAGGAAGGACTCAAAGAACCCTCTGGGGGCTGGGAGGGGGAGGCACAGCAGGTTCTGGTAGGTCTCCAGCATCACGTCTAGGTACAGCTCCTTCTGGGAAGGGTCCAGGTAAGCCCACTGCTCCCTTGTGAAGACCACCACCACATCTTGGAAGGTCACTGGCTCCTGAAACAACAAATGCCTTTGTGCTTGTCCAGGGACCAGCCCTCAAATGGACCTGGGAGTAAAGCGCCCAGAAGGTAGGGGAGAGGAGGTGTAGTTCTTGGGGTTCTGGCCTCACTGAGATCCATCCAAATATCTATCAATTCTTTGGTTGGTAAAAACTTCTGAATCATAGTTAAAGAATTATCCTTGTGAGGGAAGAAGCAGGCTGGATTGGAGGTCACAAGACCTGGGTTCAAATCTACTTATTTGAACAAATCTTGACCTTGGACAAACGGATGCTCCAGTTTCCTCATCTAAGAAACGAGGGGGATTGAGGGGATGCCCATCAACTGGGGAATGGCTGAACAGGTTGTGGTATATGATTGGGATGGAGTACTATTGCATTATAAGAAATGATGAGCAAGATGCTCTCAGAAAAACTGCGAAACCTTATATGAACTGATGCAAAGTGAAGTGAGCAGAACCAGAAGAACATTGTACACACTAACGGCAA